AAAAAAAAAAAAAAAAAAAAAAAAAAAAAAAAACAATTACCCATACAACTGTGTGGAGGGCACCCGCACACACTGACACTCACTATCACACACACACCATGCACCCTACGGCGCCGACCGACCACGGATGGCGGTAGCGATCTCCATAAGCGCTTGGCACATCATCCTCTGCGTCTCATCGCATTGCCTCGTGAATATGTTGCATTGCCGCTTGCTAGCTGATTCGATCGTCGACGACATCAGTGCGCCATGGCGGTCCATGACATCAGCACTTGACTCCAATACCTGTTGACGCGCATTCTTCCGCTTACCGCCTCCAGCCCCACTGGCTGCGTTGTTGTCGGAGTCCCTCGTAGTAGAACGTTTTTCAGGGAGGCCTTCGCCAGCGGCCTCACTACCAACAGACTCCCCAGCACCCGCTCCTCGCCTGGGCAGATGCACCCCGTCCGGACTTCCGGTGTCGGCGATGTTGGGAGGGAAAATTGTGTGGTTGCCAACCATGCCTATGTGGATCTCGTTGTATAGCACCCTCTCCATCCAAAAATTGAAGTTGTGCTCCTTCCTTTCTTCATTCGATAGCCGGAAGAAATCTGGCCGGCCACTCGCATTCTGAAACCTATGTATCTTCTTGTAGTTTTGGAAGATATTGTCCCACTTCTTCATGCAGTCCTCCGCATCTTTAGGCCTCCCCGCGTTCGCTATGCGCTTTCCCACTTCCACTCCTTGGTCCGCATCCGCCCGTAATTGTGACCGAGACCGGCGAGGTGCATCTCTTGCTCCCACTTGCATCTCACCAGTTGGATTTGCTCTTCCGGGGACCAGTACGTCGCAGACTTCCCGCCGTCATCGCTGACGCCACCTCTGCCCCCACGGCCAACGGATCGACCACGAGCAGCGCCCCTGTTGCGTCCTCTACCCCTCCCACCCGTCTTCCCCAAAGGCCGAATAGGAATGTCATCGTCGTCGTCCCCTGCCTCCACGTCCTCCCCGAATCGTTCGTCTGCATCGTCACCGCCACCACCATCGTCGTCGCCGCCATCGCTGTGTGCCCGCATATTTGACATTCCTCGTGTGATGTTCTCCACACTGGGTGCTGGACGCACCGCTGGTCTGCGCATGCCGTCGTCCCTGAGGTCGGGTTGGGTCGGCGTTGTGGTTTTGGGCATCGAATGAAGTGTACCGCCGATGCGCAGGGACCCGACTGCGACTTCATTGCGTGCGGGGCAGGTGCTTGTCAATCGATCGCCGGACGGTGCACTCGATCCATGTTGCCGGCCTGCTGACGATGGCCTGACACCGCCAGTAACGGACGCACCGCCACGAAGTGTGGACTGCTCTGTATGCCGACTTGCAGATTGTTGAACGCCACGTGGTGAAGGATCGGCGTCGATGATGAACGTGCGGCTCACCTCCCTACCGCCGCCAGAACACAACCCGAACCGAAGATGAACTCCCCCGCCGTCGTCGTCTCCCAAGCCCTGCTGCAGGAGTGTCGTGTACTCGCCGCGTCCGTTGCTTGCCGACCCACCTGCGAGCACCGTCTGCGACAACAGCTGCGTCAACCTGCTGCCGAGAGGAAACGTTGGAAGTTCGTCCCCCTCCGGCTCCTCATCCGAGGGAGGCAGCGGCGTCTCCCACGACGGCAGATGGCTGTACATGGAGGGGTTGTACCGCCGTGAAGGCTCCGTCGTCGCAGGTTTTCTTCCGCCCTCACCTGCAGGCGGAACAGCGCGTGCCTGCATGCCCGCCATGGGACGTCCCTCTTGAAGCACACCGCCTTTCGTTGACGCCCTGCGCTTGCGACGTTGCTTCCACGGCCGGCACGACAAGCACACGTGGAGGAAGATGACAAAGAGGAAGACGACCACAACGAGAAGCAGCAGAGGCAATCTCCTCTGCATGTCTGCCATGAATTCGACGTCGACAGGCGACCTTGCACGTGATGTCGTGCTGAAGTTTCTCCTCGCAAGCCCGCGGACAAGAACGCTTGGCCTTCATATGCCGTCGACCGCCAGCGAAGACGACAAACGATGCCGCCTGCGATTCAAAAAGTGACCGTTGGTGCCCACGGCGCCTCCGTGTGTCGTCGTGCGCACGTCCGGCGACTCCTCCGTTGCCCGCACCCGAGCCAACGGTCCGCAACGGCCGCCTGCCAGGCCACGCTTCGCCCCGCGCGCTCCACCCCACCGGCCAACGGCTACCGGTGGGGGCCGTTGCCGTCGTTGACCGGCAGAAAACCTCCGATGTCCGCCCACCGATCCGACGGACCTCTCCTGGACCAGCACCTCCGTGTCGACGGTGCCATTCTCGCGACGCGACGACTCCGTGAAACGTGGGAATCCTAAATTTTTCAGTAGGTCCGGGGCTACTGGAAAATATAGGACGATTTGGCTGGGGAATCCTAAATCTTGTAGGACAAGTCCTAACGCTGTTTTCACATTTTCGATTCCCGCGTCCGATTTAGGACTGCGTGCAACCAAGACGCAATCCTAAAAACAGGAACTTTTAGGAGTGTCTAACGAGACCCTTATAATTGCACTATGGACCAAGATACAATTTCGAATAGCAGTTGGGGCAATGTTTACAACCCAGATTTCTGGCCAGGTAGGGTGCCCCAAGTGCAATTGCAAACTGTATCTTGGCCCATAGTGCAAGTATAACTCCGTTTTGTGACTCGACTGAAGTTATATAATAGAAAAAACTGCGCCTGTGACCGCTGCACAGTTCAGAATTCGCAGAAATAACAGTCCACTGCAAGATTGGGCCATGAGCAGTTTGAAACAGCAAAAAAAACAGCAACCGTGAGCAGTTTGAAACAGCAAAAAAAACAGCAAACTATGCTTTCCACGGCCTACGGGTTCATAATTGGCAAAAACGGGAGGTCGCCTGGCCTAGCAGGCCCTCCTGTTTTTTTTGTTTTTCTTTTTTTCGGTTTTGGCATTCTGGCCGGAATGGGTTTGGGATGGAAAAAGATCCCACTTTGTCAGTACAGGAAAAGCCGCAGACGGGCCCCCGCCCCACTCTCTCTCTCTCTCTCTCTCTCTCTCTCTCTCTCTCTCTCTCTCTCTCTCTCTCTCTCTCTCTCTCTCTCTCTGTGTCTCTGTGTCTCTGTTGTGTGTGTGTGCTGCTCGGCCCACCAAATTGCGAATGTATCGGGTCCATCGTCTGCATCAGATACATTCGCACCTTTTCTTTTTGGACATGCCAATCTTCTCTGTATCTTTCCAATTCTCTGTATCTTTCCAATTCTCTCTCTCTCTCTCTCTCTCTCTCTCTCTCTCTCTCTCTCTCTCTCTCGTCGCCCCCGCTCTCTCTGCTGCCCGCTCGCCCGCCTACTCTGGCTGCCTCTCTCTCTCTCTCTCTCTCTCACACACACACACACACACACACACACACACAAGGGAAAAAAAAAGTGGCAGTGTATATTTCCATTTTCTCGGTCAAGATTCATTTCGATTTTGCTCAGCCGGACGTAGCCACTCTTTTTCCATTGGTTGAGCAAAATCGGAAAGAATCTTGGCAGAGAAAATGGAAATATACACTGCCACTTTTTTTTTTTGGTTTTTTTTTTTTTT